ATAAACTTATATAAATTTATATAAATAGTGTATAATAATGATAAATATTGTATTAATTTATATAAATTTATATACTTTATATAAATTTATACAAACTTTATAAAAATTTATATATTATTTATATAATAAATTATATGAACAACAATTATATAAACAGTAACAATTACATAAATAATAACAATTATATAAATAACACTTATAAAAATAACAAAATTGACAAATAAGTCTACATGTAAAAAGATAATCTTAAAACAACGGAAAAAAAACACTCTGCACCAATCGAAATTTGACAATCTACCTCGTGATCAAACAAATTCTTTATCAGAGAAACACATATGACTGTAGGTACAAGCAAACTATATGGCCCTAGATACATGACTTGATAGCTTCATGAAAAACGCCATCTATTAACAAACCTGTTAATAGATGGCATTAATAGAAGTATTTAAGTAACAAACAACAAAAAATAGTTCAACAGCTAATAATATAACTCGAAACCTAATAAATTAATCAGATAAGGTTGTAATTATATGTGGTATAGGGTAAAGCCAATAAAACGGTCATAAGGTAATTCCAGTATAGGGTTAAGCTTATAAACAGTAATAACATAATTGCAGTATAGGGTTAAGCCTAAAAAATGGTCTAAATGTGTTTATGGGAAATATCTACCCTAATGCAGTTATAAATTCAGGTCGGCATTCAGCAATGCCGTCGCAAAAGCCGACCTATCTTTGCTTTTGGACAGCATACAACTGCCGACCTGAATATTCTAAAATGTTGGCATGTAAATTGAAATACTTTTAAAAAATAAATATTATTTGTTAAATATTAGTTTACAATTTATTTATTGTAATTACTTGCTTTTCAAATTTGTTTTATTAAAAGAAAAATTCATTCATTTTTTTCAATTCATTTTTTTCAATTCTTTTTTTTTTTTTTTTTCCTCAAATTTAAGCATTTAAAAGTTAAAAAACATTACTTTTTAAATGCCTGTCGTCCTTACGCTTTTTTAATAACAATTTAAGCGCAGTTATTACTTTATTAAGTTTTAAAATCTAATTTTAATTTATTTTATTTGTTAAACCCGTTCATTTACATGTTTATAGTTTTTTTAATATTATTTATGATCAGAAAGTCTATTAGGAAAGTTTAGTCTTGGTATAGTTATGTTAAACACATGTGGAAATGAAACATTAATTACAAAACTTTTTTTTTGATAGAATTTAGGCTTCCATTAAATCCATTCAAAATAAAAAACGCAACAGTAAGACAGTAAGCAAACTCAAAACAAGTCATAATGCCTAACAGAACTGCTATTGAAAAATGGGGGTTTAAATCCTGTGAATTTCAAATTGATGATTCAGGTAAAGTAACTTTAATTTAGCGTAAAACTTGCTGAGAGTATTCAGAGCTTTTAAAAAATTGTCAAAATAAAAATAAAGGCTGTGCTAAATTAGCAACAGAAACGTTTGTGTGGGAAACATCAGTTTAAAAAAAAAAAAACTTTTCAGACCATATTTTACGTTCTCATACGCATGCCGCAGCTGTCTTACGATTGAATGAAATTGAGAAAAAAACTCCTGATACTATCAATTCCAACAAAGAAAGTACTGTTGATTCCTCCAACAGTGTTTAAGTCCAAACAACACATTCTTTAAAATATTACATTTAATTGCTACATTCTTCAAAATATTATTGTCTAAAGCTATGTTATTATAAAGCAATCCTTTTATATTTAATTAATCATTACACCTATCGTAACAGAAAGCAAAAAATCTTTTTTTTTTTTTTGCCGACCTAATGTCAACTAAGGTTAGCATGTTTGTGCCGACCTGAAATCCTTCAAATTTTACAGACTACTAATGTGTAGTAAAATGCATATAAGATATAAAAATAGCAAAATGTGTGCAACGCAATGATAATGACGTATTCAAAAGAAACAGACTATTCTAGTAATGTATTTTAACATCAAATAACTAAAAATTATAAAAAATAGTCTAAACTTCTAATTTATATATTATTCATGGGCCAAATGTATTAAATTAATCAATGCTGTATTAAAATAGATGGGTGTGGGTATCAATGGGAATATTTCCACTAAATAGAGGTTATCTCTGATATGCCAATGCTTAACAATAATCTTATTGATCTCTACTAATATCACAATAAAGAGTCACTATGGGTAATACATCTATATCTATATTTGCAAGGGGTTTTTTAGTTAGTTGTTTTTGACTAAATTGAAAAGCTCTAATAAATTGTAAATTTATAACTTTCACTGCATAACCTCTTAACAAAAAGATTTGCAGTAAAGCTAGCAGTTCTTTAGAAAGATTTTCCAGTTCTGATATAATTCTATTAAAGCGTAAAGTTTGGCTGTATACAATGCTTTTCTTTAGATGATATGGATGATTAGATTTCATGATATAGAAGGCTCATTGTATCTGTTGCTTTCTGTATAAAGTACTTTGGATGTGCCCATTAGGGGTATGACTAAAACAAAAAAAAATTTAATTTTTAATTCCCCATGCCACCATGAGTGGAGAAATTATATTTATAAACAGAAAATATAATGTTAATTTTTGAAAAAGATCACCCCCAAGCTGAAAATAATTTTTCCTATATTTTTAGTGTTATCCTAATGAGTTATAAATAACATAATAAACATAGAAAAAATGGCTAAAAATGGTCTTGCTTCAGAATAGAATAAAAAGTTTGGGAATCAAATTAAGTAAGATTTGAAAAATCTAAGACTTCAAGAAATGTGCTATTGTTTAAAGTATTGGTAAAATGAATAAAATGCCAACAGAACAGCATATTGTTGATTGATTCAAAAGTTTGCAATCGAATGTAAAAAGCAGAAAGGAGAGAGTTGCAATTTTAGCTAAAGAAACTGAACTACTATGGAGAAAGCTGAATATTTTAATTCTACAAGGGAAATCAGCATCAGGAAAAAAAAAGAAAATATATTAAAAAAACTTGACAAAGATCGAAAACCCAGAACTCAAAATTTTACCCAATTGTTTAACATAACTGATGAGAAAGGTAAATGGTTGTGTCAGGAAGATAAAGAACTCTACTGTCAGCAAAAATGGAAGAGTTGGATATTGTACCACAATTGAAGATAATGAAGGTATTGGTCCAAGAAAACTAGTGTTGATAAGGAAACAAACATCCATCAGCTGAGACCAAGATTTCGTGAATCAACTAGTAAAGGAGGTCATTCAGAAACTGAAGAGCAGTATTTCAGCAGTGATACTGAAGCTGAAGATGTGGAAAGTTTGTCATCATCATCTAAAAGTCTACAAAGGTGTCATGAAAGAAGGAGAAAATCTGAAAGCAAATTATATGGAGAACTTAAAAAATGAAAGGTGATCTTTACACTTTGATGGAAAGCACATTAAAAAAATGGAGCATTAAGTAGTTGTTTTGAAAAAAGAGAGAGGTTAGATTTGCTGTTCTCAAGCTGATGGATAGAAAAAGTGAAACAATATTTAATGGAATAAAGCCTTTGCTGGATGAATATGAGCTGTGGCCAGCCATAAAAATGATTGTATCTGACACAACATCTGCAAATACCGGAATAAGAATTGGTGTAGTAACACTGTTACAGAAACATTTCAAAACTATTGGAATAGAGAAGCATACTTTTATAGGATGCCAACAACATATTTTAAATACTCTTTTAAAATATGTCATGAATGATCGTTTTGAAAGTTCAACACCATCGCTAGATTTTCATTCCCTTTTTGTGACAAGATTATTGCAAGACTATAAAAATCTGAAGTTATAATTTCAGAATACTGGAGATCCTTTGACAAAAGTGAATTGGAAACGCTGGCAAAATGACATGGAATTCCTGCATCACTTAATAGCTTGTTATAGAAGTTTAAAAGCAAAGGTACCTTTTCAAAAGTGAACTTTAAAGCACTTCCTTCTATAAGCAATGCAAGATGGAACTCGAGAGCAATTTTTGTTCTACTTGCTTACATTCTAATATCAGACTATCATAAATCGAAATCTGCTCAAGCAGCATGCAACTTCATCTGTGGTTCATGGGGTGATATATGGTTTAGTGTTCACTACTTCAATTCTGCAGATTTTGTTAATCTATTAGAAGCATGCAATAAGCATCCAAAAGCATTAAAATCGTTCTACAAAGTACTGGAACATGTGTTGCAAAAGAACATTTCTTAATTTTAATTCTATTAATCTTGTTTTTAAATGGGGGGTGAACTTTTTTGAGATATAGTATAAATGTTTGATATTTTCTTGATTTTTGCATAAAAACTCCACGAAGTGAAGTTTTTATGCAAAAATCAAGAAATGTATATGGATACAGGGTTGAAAAATTGTCATACCCCTAAAGCCTATATCTGTCTTTATATTGTGACAAGTCTAAAAAATTAATTGAAGAACTAGATTTATTAAAAGTAAATTTAATAGTTAGGTGGATACCATTTGAGTCCTATACCTCTTGTAATTCTTCCATTGATCTATAGAACAAGAAAAAAATATCATCAATGTAACATCTATAAAAAGTAACTGAATTTAAGAACTGGGTTCAAATTTTATTATCTAATCTACCCATAAAACAGGTTAGCATATGGCGGCACCATTCTCATACCCATCGATGTACCATTAATTTGTTGGTAAACCTATCAACTATTTTAGAAAGAATGAAAGACCCTAGATAAAAGAATGGTTTTTAAAAATATACTAATATAGGCTAAAGGTGGACATAATGTTGATCTCTGATGAATTAGAAACTGTTTCATATAAAAAATGATTGCTCAAATTCCTTCTTGATGTGGGATATTGGTATAGAGTGAGATGACATCTGCTTTTACAAAAAAATAGTTATAAGAGATAAATTGATGGGATTAAAGCATATGAACAAAATGAGTAGTATCTTTGATATATGAGGGGATGGGTTCTGCCACTGGTTGTAAAAAGTGTGTTATAAATTTAGATAAACGGTCTGTTAGGCCATTACATGCTAAAACAATAGGTCGTAACAGTATCCCCTCTTTGTGAATTTTCAGTAATCTAAAAAAATTGTGCAGCAACAGGGTGTAAAAAATTTGCTGTTATTTTATCAATTATGTAGTGGTTATGTACCACGTAGTCTATAAGAGTATTTACATCATTTAGTATTCTTGCCATTGGATTATGCAGCAGGAGTTTACAACCTTCAGAATTAGGGTTGGTATTCGGCAATACTAACCTAACTGCTGACATTAAAGTGTTTAAGGTGGCCAAAAAAATGCTGACTTAATTTCTGATGCCGACCTCACAAAGATTAGGGTCTGCAAATTATTGCTGACCTTATTTTTCCTAATTCCAAGGGCTGAGTTTATAAATATTAACATTTTTTAATAGATGGTTTATTTTATTCTCATACTGTAGTATATATATATATATATATATATATATATATATATATATATATATATATATATATATATATATATATATATATATATATATATATATATATATATATATATATATATATATATATATATATATCATACTGTAGTATATATACATAGCAGTGCTTAAAGTGGAGAAAAAAAAGTAACGGGATGATATTTGGTAATTTAAAAATACCATGCCGCCTAATCATTGTTATTTATATAATATATTTATATAATATAGACTTATAATACAGACTTATTAATAGAATACAGACTCCACCACCTTTATCTGCTCTTTTGAATATGATATCTTTATTGTTATGTAGTTTCTCTAATGCTATAGACTCTACTGGTGAAAGATTATTGGCAACTTTGGGTTTAAGTTTTTTCATAACGCCACTTACATGATAGCATGTACATCAAAGTACCATGTGATGCAAATTTGGAAATCTTTTCATTTTGTTCACAGAAAAGAATTTAATTTGAGTGTTCAAATTAAGTGAAACTTTGACCTTATAGTGTAACAATAAAAACACCTGTAGAATGAGAACCACTACATATAATTTAATAAAAATTGGTGTAAATGTAGCATAAGGCCGCACCAAACTTGGGATAAAATTTCAGTTGAATTGGTTAACCTTTTAAGGATTTATGTTGTTAGTATTTTGTTACTTAGCCTCAAAATGTTACAGAATGCGTGATATTATTCGATCACTATTTTTAAAATAAAGGTTAAATTAGTGTTCTACTATGCAATATCAAAAAAAAAATTTTAATTGTTTTATCTACTGCCAAAATGAAAAAAAAAAGTGCAAAAAAAAAAAGCAAAATACAGCAAAACGACTATAAGTTGGTAAAACAATAAAATAAATGCTTCAATTATTTGATATATATATATATATATATATATATATATATATATATATATATATATATATATATATATATATATATATATATATATATATATATATATATATATATATATATATATATATATATAATCGGTATAGTTTTGAGGAATAGCAAAAAATTAACAAAATAAAAATTAAAACTGAAATAAATCCTTAGACAGTTAACCGATCCAGCTGAAATTTTACCCAGAATTTAGTTTGGCTATATGCTGCACCTGCACCAATTTTTATCAAATTATATAAGAGGTTCTCATTTTACAGGTGTTTTTATTGTCACACTTTAAAGCCAAAATTTCGCTTAATTTGAACATTCAAATTAAATTATTTTTTGTGGACAAAATTAAAAGATTTCAAAATTTGCATCACAGGGTACCATGATGTGTATGCTATCAACCCATATAAGTGGTGTTTTTGGGTCAGCTAGATTGACATTATTAGGATTCGTGATAACCCTCTGTGTGTGTATATATATAAATAAACAGACCTAACATTTTAGTAAAATATTAAAATGGACGAAAATATAAAGTAAAAAGAATGTTATTGTAGTTGTTTTTTTTTGCCATAACAGGTCTTTTTAATATGTTTACTATACTACTTTACAAATATTATTTTAATAAAAAAATAACTAAAAATTGATTTCAACTATTTTTTAAATGAGGGAAAATTATTTGACCTTTTACTCCAAAAAACAACAACATATACCTGTGCAATATCAAAAACAACATTTACCTATGCAATATCAAAATCAACACGTACCTGTACAATATCAAAAACAAAATGTACCTGTGCAATATAAGGTTTTTTGGTGCACCATTTGTTTGACTGTAAGGAATTATGAAATGATTTTGTATTTAAGTCATTCTCTTCATCACTCTAAAGTATTAGAAAAAATTTAATTAGAATAAGAAAATAAATATTATTTATATTATTAATTTATATATTTTGGTTATAAATTATATATCATACATTTTGTTATACACTAATATTTCCTGAACTTTTGTCCTATAAAATTTTTAATTTCTCCACTATAAAAATTTTGAAGATTTAAGTTCGTTTTTTTAATTATTACGTATTTATCTTTTTTTTTATTGTTAATCTTGTTTGAACTTTGAACCTTTTTACTTAATTACTGTTCTTATTTATTTCTATTTTGGTTTATATATTTTGTTTTAAAGACCAAAAAATTTATTGAACTTTTTAAAAACATTTTTTTTTTTTTTTTGCTTTTGTTTTTATCTTGTTATTTTAAGATTGTTTTTCATTTTCTGTTTTACTTGTTTGTTTGTAATTTGTTTGTTTTTTTGTTTTGTTTTGTTTTTCATTTGTTGTTATACTTATTTGTTTGAAATTTGTGTATTGTTGTATTTTGTTTGTAAAAAACGTTGGTAGGTCTTCACAAATGGCAGATGCGTTTTTATAATAGTAAAAAAAGAAAAGTGAAGATAAATGTAAAGAATATAGAAAAAACCAAATTAAATATATAAATATTATTTATTTGTTTTATAAACAAAAACAACTCATCAACAATCAATTAAAAATCATCAACGATCGCACACAAAAAATAATTCAAAAAGGAAAGAAAGGTAAAAAAAGAAAAAAAGAAAGAACTTTGAATTTAAAAAAAACAAAAAAACTTCATAAACTTAAATAAAAATAAACAAAACAAAATAAAAAAGTAAACAAATAAAAATAAAGAAAAGAAAAGAATAATTAAATACTCAAATAAAAAAGAAAGAAGAAAAAAGTAGAGCTAGAAGATTAGTTTATCATTTTTCTTTTTTCTTTACGATATAATTTATAATCACTAATTCATTAGTTATTATTTTTCAGTCATTATAGTATTACTCATTTTCTCACATTATATTATTTATTTATACTTAATTGTTTTCATTTTAGTCATTTTATTTATAACATATACTATAACATATATGAAAATATTTTGCACGTGGTGTATTTGTTGATTTACAGAAAGCGTTTGATACAGTAGATCATTCAATTTTGTTGAAAAAATTAAAATACTATGGGATCAGAGACATATCCCTTAAATGGTTAACTACATATTTAAACAAAAGAACACAACTTGTTTCTATCAATGATTCAAAATATAACCTTGTAAAATGTTCTAATGGTTATAATATTCCTTAGGGTTCAGTATTGGGACCATTGTTTTTCCTTTTTTATATTAATGATCTTCATTAATATCTATCTATTAAATTTGCTACTGTATACCACTTTGCTGATGATACAAATCTAATACTAATTAATAAATCCCTTAAAAAATTAACAAACACATTAACTATGATCTTGCCAATCTAGTTCAGCGGCTTTGCTCCAATAAACTTTTTCTAAAGTCTTATAAAACTAAACTCTTGTTATCTTTAAATCAAATAAAATAAAAATCTATAAACATATGAACTTTAGATTAAGTGGCGAAGAAAATGAACCTGTTAACTTAATGAAATATCTTGGTATAAAAATTGATTCAAATTTTTCATTTTTATCCCACTGTAAAGACTTAGCAATGAAACTAAGTAGATCTAATTTGCCATTATGTTAAACTTGAAACATTCTTGAACATATACCATGTTATTTTTGGCTCACATCAAAGATATGCATACCAAGTATGGGGGCAGTCCCACCAACAAGCTCTTATTATATTTAATTTAATCCTAATGTTAATTTATTTATAAAAAAATACAAGTCCTTTTTCTACAGAAGGATTGTGTTCCTAAGATAATGTTTTATTTAAAATTTTACATTTCATCAATTATCAAAGTTATTATCACAAAACTTATCTTCCTAATTACAAACTTGATTATTATAATTATATAATATTATAGTCAATTAAAGTTAAATTTTTTTAAAAAACTTTAAGATTTAATAATTTTTTTATTTATTTTATTTTTCTACATATTTCTGTTTATCTTTTTATTTTATCATCAGAAATTAAAAATGATTATCAACATATTGATATTGATAATTTATGACATATAGATTGATTATCAACAAGGGAATTTGAAAACATCATTTGAAACACATCACAAAATCATCACATCAATAAGGGTAAAAATCACAACAACAAGTGTAAACATCATAACAAGGGTAGCATCACATAACAACTTTTATTTTTCTTTATGAATATTATTTTCCTTTACAAATATTATTTTTTTTTTATGAATATTATTTTTCTTTACGAATATTATTTTTCTTTACATTAAAATAACTCATGATGATCACATGAAACTAAATTTAAATGTTAATTTTTTTATTTAAATGTTAAACTTTTGAAAAATTTAGAAAAATTTTAATCTATTTTTTCACTTTTTATTTTATTTTCAAATCAGTTCAAAGGTCAGGATTATCATAATTACCTTGCTACTGTCAACCAGTCTTGTACTTGCTAATCAAGTACAACTTTCCTCATGCTCTACCCTGTTGTAGAATTTGCTATTCAAGGCAAAAGCTAGAAAAAGTTTTAAAACTCAACTTCATATATGCCTAAAAGCTCTTAGTTGAAACTTCCTGCCTAAAAGCTCATAGTTGAATAAAGGCTAGAAATGGTATTTAAAAACACTTATTCTGGACATATGTAAACTGTATTTTTTCAGTCCATCAAGGCTGAAAGCAACCACTAATCAAATTAGAAGTTAACTGTTAACCGAAAGTAAAGAAGAGAACTAAAGAAAAAGAGTAAAAAAAAAAGAGCAAAAAAACATTAGAAGACTTTAAAAACAAAAAACCAAAAGCACTGACAAGGATACCTTTCATGCTAAACATGGCATTTTTAACACTATGATATTTAACATTTGTTGATAGAATCAGCTTCTCTGAAATGTCTAATCATAGAGTTTTGTTTGTGCCTCTATAGTAATGCATCTGAAACTCTTTCTGTTATCTCCTAATAAGAGTACAATGCTAAAACTTAGTATAATCGTTGCAAAGCAGGCTTAGGTTTCCCTAACACTCTGTTAGCTCTTAGAAGTAATGATTTAATCAATAACTGTAAAAGATTACGGTATTAACAGTGCTATATTGCGCATAAAAGATATTCCTGTTAATGCTTTTGGTGTGCATTGTCAAAGCTACATAAGAAACTGTTTGTTGCAACCACACAGCTGATTGCTAAGAGTGTAATAAACTATTCATGATTAAATAAGTTTTCTAACTACCAAAAACATAAAAAAAATCTAAAAAAAATAATTAAAAAAAATATCATTACCAATTAATTGTATTAGAAATAACTTTTCATACTTTAAATCTTACTACCATGAGACTAAATTTAAATCATCTATTTCATCTTCAGATCTTAAACTTATCAATTAACCAATTTTTTTTTTTGTTGGGTTTGAACCCTCTAACTATTCTTTTATGTGCTTACACATAGCACTTTAATCACCTTTCTTACTGCACTTCACTCTTCTAACAGCTTTTGTAGAGATATATATATATATACATTAACCTTATAGGTATTTATATATATATATATATATATATATATATATATATATATATATATATATATATATATATATATATATATATATATATATATATACATATATATATATATATATATATATATATATATATATATTTATATATATATATATATATATATATATATATATATATATATATATATATCAGGGGCTATTCTTCAACAGTGCTGACCATATTTTTGGGCGCCGTCCAAATTCAAAATTGAGGACCTTTTTTTTTATGGCAAATACTGTTTGTTTTTTTTTTGCAATAAAACGCCTGCATTTGGCAATAGTTCCGCTAAATATTATCAGGAAAGGGACAGACGCCTCTCAAAGGGACAGACGCCTCCCAAATTAATTTCCTAGAATAGCCCCTGTATATGTATATATGTTATAAATATAAAGAAAGGTGATTGAGTGCTATAGTTCTCCTAATTCTCTGCACTTGTTTCTGATTTCTGATCAAATTAACGAAGCTCTTTCTTTATATCTTTTTGACTTTACTACTGACCTTGCTTTTTCACCTATTTAATTATTCTTTTCTTTCTTTTTTTTTAAATAAACATCTTCACTTCCAAGGAACTACTATTAGAGTTAGTAGTTACTGGAAGAGAAAAGATGAGGTTTCTAGTGAATTTGTTTTAAATAAATAAGACAGAACTAAGCAAATAAAAAAAATTAATACAACCATCACAACTTATAAAATCAAATAACTTATAAATAATAATATAATAGAAGCAAACCTGAACATAAATGAATTCATTTTTTGCTTGAAAGTCTTTATTATTAGGAATATCTTTCTCTGACCCTTCATTAAGATGCTTCTCATTATCAACCTAAATATCACAAAAAACATAGTGTTTTAGGAAATATCTAAAATTATTATTTTTCTTTACTATTAGAAATATCTTTTTCAAATGGATTTTTATTAGGATGTTGCTCATCATCAACCAAAATATCATTAAACTAAATGTTTTACATTTTATTTTTAATATTTATTATATGTTTGTTTACAATAAATTTATAATATTCATTATGTTTGTAGTTTACAATTATTAATAAATATGTCAGGTTTAAAAGACATTGTCCTATTAAAAATTTTGCACTTGAAGGTTGTTTTTATGTTATTTAATTTTGCTTTCAAAAATAACTAGGAAAAAAACTTTTTTCACAGAACAAATGTTTTCTACCAACAATATTTAAATGTTTTTTCTATTAGTGCAATATAATGACATTATATTGCACTAATAGAATATAATGTCATTATATTGCACTAATAACTTAAAAACATCACAGTTTGTTTTAATGTAAAAAAATGGATGGGTTAAACTAAATGACATTACATGTTCCTGATTTGAAATTTTTTGGGGTAAATTCTTGATGTTAGTTACATATTCCTTGAAAACTTTCCTTGAAAAATTACTTAAAAATTAAGAGCATTGTTGTAAAATGAGACATTTGTTTAACTACTTATTTGTTTGATAAAATTTTTCAAACATTGTTAGATAACATTGTTGGTACAAATTTAATGATGTTTTAAAGGTGATCGTAGTAAACATGAACATATGACGGGTAATTACATGGAATTAAACCTGAAGATATCAGATAGGTTGAACAATAAATTAAAATAGTTTTTCTTTAAATTTGCTCTTAGAAAGCTCAACAAGAATTTACTTTAATGCTTGTGCTAATTATGAAATATTAACAACTTGTTTATATCTTCTCTATAAAAGCTGTTAGAAATATATTTATACTCTTGGATAGTATGCATAATATCAAGTACTTCTTGTTTGCACAACTCAGCCCCATCAAAACACCTCTGATGCCAAAATTGGGATTTTTCAATTTTTTACTGATTTTCAGACAAAAAAAAAATTTTCCACAATAAAATTGATTTCTGTGATAATTGGATGAATTGTTTAGTCAATAAATATCACTTAAAGAATCTTAAAACAGCTGTTAAGAAATAAGATTTAAAATGGGGTAAAATTTGACAATACCAATATCATATTGATTATTGCTAGTCTTTTATGATATTCGAATCACTTGAGATAAGACTAAAAACTTTTCCTTGCAGTGCTACAAGAGCGATGATGTCTCTGCAACAATAAGATTCTATGTGGAAGAGTAGAACTCAAAATGTATTTTTACATAAACTGCATAAAGTACAAACAAGCTATTAATTTCCCAATAGTGGTTCTTTTCAACATGTGCTGAGATTTTTTGTTTGAAGACAGCAATTTCTTCTTGGGAGGAAGTCTATGAAAGGCAGAAAAGTATTGAGTAACTTTTAAATAAAACTTTTTTATGCCAAACCAAGTCTCATAGAAGTCTCATAGAAGCAAATTACAAGTAATTTTTTTATGCCAAACCAAGTCTCAAAGAAGCAAAAGTACAAGTATCTTTCTTTAAGTTTAAGTATAAAGTTAGGCTCATATTTGTTTGAGAGCAAGATAGGGATTGTAACTGAAAATGGCTTGCTGGTGAACTTTTTGATTGAAGAGTTAGAAAAACAATATTAGCTTGGATTCCTCGCAGGCAACTGTTCAGTAGCAGAATTTTTCTGGTCGATTGTTTAGGACTTTTTTAGATGAAACCCAATGAACTGAATGCTTATATTCAGTTCTACAGATTTCTAGAAATTGCCCATTGATGAAAAATATTTGTAAAACGACAACTATCTTTACTTTTTATGAACTCTGTTCTTTTTCATACTATTTACAATTTTTATACATTTTGTCAACAACAAAAGCTCCCTTGGGATAATTATGTACAAACATAAAGTAAAAAAGAAATTACGACATATTTACACTAAGGATTTGTAAACGCTATTAAATTATAATAGCGTTTACAAATTAGCTATTAACATCTCCCCAAGAACTAAGTTCTTAAGGCAAATAGTCATTTAAATATGTCGGCCTTCTCCATTCTCTAGTCGAACGTCTGAGCAACAGTAATAAATTATCCATGACTTCAATACCGTCATTTTCTTCGTCAGCAACTGACTCTTCATCAACTGACTCTTCAACTTCCTCGTCTCTTGCAATATGTAAATCGTCGAACTCACTTTCGTCGCTTTCATTTTCTTCAACACTATTCATTCTTGAAACTTTCTCACCATGTGATTCAGGAACTATTCTCACGTCTCTCACATGTCGTGGTACACCATCGATTTCAATATTTGTTTTTGAGAGTATATTGGTCACGTTACTAATTTTCCAAATCGTTGTACATTTTGCACCAACAGGACGAACATAAACTTGTTCTCCAATTCTATAGGTTGCCAAGTCCTTTTGTGGTCTTTCGTGACTTTCTGTGTTGTGAATAGGTAGACGCCAGACGTACTTATTTTTTAGAGAAGCAGGTGTAGAGTCTTCTTGCGTTCCAATCATTGGTGTTGCATTATACCAAAATACTGCTTTTAACGGACATATCTGTGCTCTCGCAGATGCACGTTTTACTGTGTGGTGGTTACGCTCCACGATACCATTTCCTGATGGTCTATATGCACATCTATACATCTTTTGCACACACCATTTTTTACACATGTTTGACAACTCATTTGATCTAAACACAGCTCCATTGTCCATCAATAGTTCGTGTGGCGGGCCATGCTCCCTAAATACGGAATCCAATTGAATTAATATACTCTTTGTATCTTCGTGTAGCATCTTTCTCCATACTGCGAATCGACTTGGTCCACAGTCAATCATTGTTAGGTACGGTGACCCTTTATAGTGAGTTACGTCACATGCGATACGATACCATGTATCTGGTACATCTAGCACTCCATGTTCCCATTTTATTGGTGCTGGATCAATTGAACTACATTGACGACATTTGCGCACACAGTCTTTAACGTCTTTTTTCGACACTTGCGGGATTCTTTGTTGTACTGTAAACATTGTTCGATTAACGCCAAAATGATGTTTCGAGTGACACTTACGAATTTCATCGGCAATATTTACCCCACATAATTCTTTAACATTTTTTCGTGAAATTTCATTTAACCACTTTTTTGAAACTCTTGTTAATACATCTGCTTTGATTTTAGAAGACAGAACCCACTTCACTATGATGTTCATACTGTATTCCTTTATTAAATCACGCAATAATGAAAGTCTTCGTTTGATTAGCATTTCTGATAGTCCATTTGACCGAACCCTATGACTTTCAGTCAGCACACTTTTTAACCATCCATGAACAGTTACTGAGTCAATAAATATCGATAGGTTCTTGATGTCCCACTTAACAGCTAGGTTTATTCCACGCACCACAGCATCTAATTCAGCCATATTAATATGCATGACATCATTTGTACTTCGTAGCCATGCTGCATCCTCAATTATTATGCCGTTATATTCGATTGCAACACCAATTGCAATACTACTAGCATCACACCACAATATTGCTCCATTTTGAATACCATCAGCATTCCATGTCCCATTTACAGGATCACTAATTCCCAAACGGCGCAATATTTCGACCAACCATGACTGTGCTTGATCTCCTATTAGGTCATCCCAAGCATCTCCTTCGCTATAACGTTTTGTAAAGCTGCAGGCAATTCTGAGCCAGTTTCCAATTGGATAGTGTCCAATCAAGTGACCACATATTGAAAACAATCTCCGACGTGTAATTTTTTCATTTTCGATGTCTTCTGACTTTGGAATGATATTGCCGCGTTTCCAACAAAGCACTTTTTTATCGTTTCTGAATATTTGCAAACCCAAAACTCGGGCACCGTCACAATCTTCCGGCTCTTTTGTTAACAAACCATACCGTTCCAAGTGGTTTACGACATTTTCAACCGATGTCTTTTTCAAATCAATGATTATGTCGTCGATATAATGGTCAGTTGCTTCATCAATCCCTGCATCAAGACTTAGCACTTTGCCTAAGATTGAAGACATAATCTTTGGTGCAGAATTTAACCCAAATCCGAGTCGTGTAAGATGGTATTACATCTCTTTGTAGACTACCCTCTGATACTTCCACAAAACCGGATCAATGTGTATTTGCATGTAGGCGCATCTGAGATCAAGCAGTGCAAATTTGTCACCAACTTTTCTCCATCTCCTCAATGTTTCATCGCAGGCATCACTTGAAGCGTTATGCGAATTAACGTATTGGTTCAACTCGCGAAAATCCTAGACAGGTCGTATCTTCCCTTTATTTTCTTGTTCAACTGCCATTAAAGGGACAATCCCTTTTTTATTATTTTCATCTATTTTACATGGTTTCAGCCAACCATTTTCCACCCATAAGTCCATCTCTTCGTTAAATTGGTGTATCAACTTGGGTTTTACTTTGTACTGCGTGACAAAATTCTTCAGTTGTGGTTCATCTTGTTTCCATTTATATTTAGCAGTCCATTTCATGCCATCAAAATTAGCGTCAAAGTCCTTGTTCTTTATATCAACAAATTGTTTTTCTGTGTGAATTGAAACAAAACCAAATTCAATTTTTCCATCGTATAGGTGCACTCCTCCACAACGATTAATAATATCCATACCAATAACAGCATCAATACCGTTAACAACATTTTTTAAAACCATTACGGATGCTTGTAGTTGTTTTCCTGCAACCATCAATGTCACTATAGCTTCTCCCACTGTTTTCACGAGTTCTCCATTTACAGCCAGTACCGTGAATTCGTTTCTTTTGACACAAACACCTGCTTTTTGAGCCATTTTGTTTGAAATGATGGTTCGAGTACATCCACTATCAACCAGTGCTTTTCCTGCATATGTGTTCACATGCACACTGCATATTGGAAGCGCCGTTAGTTGTCGAGGAAAACAGCTGGCGCTGGAGGTTTCCCACTTGCGTTTCC